CCTGTTCCTCAGGGTCCCCGGCCTCCCCATCCCTGGACCCCCAACTGGCTGGAAGATCTGCAGCTGGTCTGTTTCCGAACTGCAGCCAGGGACAAATGGTACACGCTTGTGTTCCACACTCTGCATTTCTTCACCCTTGTGTCCCACCCGGATACCATGTGGCAGGACTACCTAACCCCTGTTGAGGGTGAGGAACCCCAGTGGGCCAGTGTGTACTCCACCCTGATTCCACGACCCATCGGTGACATCAGTTGGTGGCTCCTCCATGGAGCTGTGAGCACGGACGTGTACCTGGCACGGTTCACCCCCATCCCTGACGCCTGCCCCTTCTGCAGCAGGAGGGAAAACCTGGCGCACGCCTGCCTTGAGTGTGCCAGGCTGCAGCCCCTTTTCCAGCTCCTCCAGAACCTCCTGCTGAGATTCTGGCTACACTTTTCCCCACAGCTTTTCTTTTACCGTTATGCGCACCCCATCTGTGGCCCCACAAAACCATGAGACCATCTCACCAACCTCCTGGCCCTAGTGAAAACCACCGTATAAAATACCAGGAGAGGGATGCTGGACGAGGGGGGTGCTCTGTGACTGTGGGGCCTATTTCTGCTCCTCCCTAGTGTCACGCATCCAGGCAGAGTTCCTCTGAGCAGCATCCACTGGCTCCCTGGATAGCGTGGAGGAACAGTGGGCGCTGTCTGATGTTCTCTGCTTGGTGTCCCCATTCGGTTCCCTCATTTTAAACCTATGACCCGCACCCCTGACTCTGTTTTTCATCATTTGTCCCACAAAATCAGTTGAATTCTGGGTCCAGTTGTCCCTCCCGCAAAGCTGGAGGAGGGGCCTTTAGAAGTGGGCACGCTTGTGCCCGCCCACCTCCCATAATGCAAATAGACTCTGAAGCAGCTTTAGACCCTTCTTGCCGGTGTGGGGCAGCCACCCTATTACAATGGGGCATAATAGGGGTAGGTGTCTATGACTAGGAACCCAGGGAAGCCATGCTGAGATTGCAGTTTGCCCTAATTGAGCACAGAATGGGTCAGACAATCCCCCAAACTGTTTGTTTCAATACTTAGCTCCGCCAAGCTAGCAACAGCGCAGTTTCTGCAATACCGTACTGGTTACCGAGAAGCCAAAACACAGTTTCCTCAAAGCAACCCAGCCTTAGGTTTTCACCTGGACATCCAAGTCAAATGTGATGAGGATTACGGAAAATCTTGTTTTTCATATAAAAAGTTCTGCCAGTTCCAAAGGATTGGACACATTACCTGCCCCATTAATGAATATTTCAGACCTTACAGCCAGTCCTTCAGGATTTAATATCGAAAGGCTTATTTATAAAAAGAGAAAGAGGCGAGAGTTATAAGGGGTTAAAGGAATTAAATACTCCAATCCTTGCAAAGTTCTTGGATTAGATTTACATCAGTGATGGCATAAACTGCTGACTGGTTAAGTCTCGGGTTGCTCTCAATTAATTGGAAGGTTCTCTATCTCGTGGCTCGAGTGCTCTCATTTGTGTAAGTCCATAGTCCAGAGACCAGAGCAGCAAAGAGGCAGAATGGAGATGTTTCCAGTAGGAATGTGAATGTTTAACCAGTTAACTGGAGGGGGCTGGAGCAGCCCCTGCCTATGGCAGAGGAAGAGGGGCCATTCCAGCTGGGCAGGAGATACCCTTGCATGTGTTGAAGAGTTCGGGCAGCTCTTACCTGTACTATTGCTAGAAGTCATTAGGTGGGGATAGGCTTCTTCTGTGGCCCATTGGGTTCCTTGAAGGGCCATCACTTGACTACTTTCTTCACAATGTGCTGGCGAGGCTCCATGTGAACTGCCTTGTGAGTGTTACTACAGCGCAAGCATTTAACATACAGGAACATAGTCATATAATATCCATAACTTCGGATACAGAAATGATAAAAAACAAGGAGTCCTGTGGCACCTTAAAGACCAACAGATTTATTTGGGCATAAGCTTTCGTGGGAAAAAACCACTTTGTTAGATGCAGGGATCACTGCATGGATGCACTCCGTACGTCTGATGGAGTGGCTTTTACCCACAAAAGCTTATGCCCTAATAAATCTGTTAGACTTTAAGGGTACGTCTAGACTACGTGACTCCGTCGACGGAGCCATGTAGATTTGTTGTTTTGGAAAAGGGAAATGAAGCCGCGATTTAAATGATCGCGGCTTCATTTACATTTACATGGCTGCCGCGCCGACAAACAGCTGATCAGCTAGTCTGGACGCGCTAGTCTGGACGTTCCCCCTGTTGACATCAAAGCCCTTTGTCGGCAGTCCTGGTAAACCTCATTCCACGAGGAATAACAGGGCTGCCAACAAAGGGCTTTGATATCGACAGGGGGAACGTCCAGACTAGCGCGCGAGCCGACAAACAGCTGATCAGCTGTTTGTCGGCTCAGCGCAGCAGCCATGTAAATGTAAATGAAGCCGCGATCATTTAAATCGCGGCTTCATTTCCCTTTGCCTACAACCCTAATCTACATGCCTCTGCCGACAGAGGCATGTAGTCTAGACACAGCCTAAGGTGCCACAGGACTCCTCGTTGTTTTTGTAGAGAGAGACTGCCCCCTCTGAAAAATGATACATGCATGCAAATAGGGTAATCGTTCAGCAAATCCTTAAATTTTCCATAAATATCTTGTGACATACTTTGTATAAGATGTGTTACGAGTCTATAACAGTGACATACAGGGTGCTGTATTCATTATATAGCATTACAGCATTGGATGTGTATTGTTTGCACAGATCTGCCTGTACAGTTTAGCCATGACCTCCAATATATGCTATTCAGTTCTGCATCTCCCTGAGAAGAGACTTCCATACTGTAATGGAATGCCATCTTGTGAACAGTTAATGTCATCTGCCGTGGTTAATTTACTGTGCAATGATTTCACCTACGGAGACTTAAACTGACACATTTGTGCATCTCAGCCTCCCTAATTTTCCAAAACACTTTCTGTGGGCAAATAACTGTAAGTCTGACATGTTTTCTGTCTGAGGCATGTAGTTGTCAGTTCTTGTAGGCCATTATTTCATGTATCTTCTAACATTTGAACAAACAATGCAGTAAAACTGCTTATGCAAACAACAACTTTCCTAGCTAGCCTCTTCTTTGTTCAGCTTTTGTTACAAAAAGCAGAGGTAAATCTAGAGCACTAATCTTCATCACGCCTTTTACTGATGTTTTGTGCTAACGATGTACAAGTGAACACACAATTATAGTTGTCGAGTAGTATTCTTTTTTTTAAAGCCCAAAGTAGCTTTCAAAAGTAAAAATATGAAAGCTTTGTTCATAGTCTTAAAAGCTAGTTCCTCTTATTGTGCTTTTTGTCCTTTATTGTGTATGGATTATTAGGTAACTCGTGTATAAACTGAAAATGAGAGTCCAGTGCTTCTGGGGGAAAGCTTTTTATAAATATATATTTTTCTCACTTCCTTTTTTTTTCTGATTTCTCCCCTTCTCCCAATATCTTTTTCTCAAGTGTGACAAATACCTATTTGGCATTTAACTTTTTTTTTTCTAGTGTACTGTCTTTGGAATTCTTTGTTTGTTGTGGGTTTTTTTTTATTTTTAATTTTGCTTTAGTCTCTGGACTTTTTTGTATTGTGATTTAGAGAGGTTGGTCATGTTACTGCCTCTTTGTGGAATAAAAATTAAAGCCCTCATTCTTCAAAGCCCTCATTCTTAGGACAGGGTGAGTGGGTGGTCCTGTTCATGTCATAGGGTAATGAAATGGGTGCTGAAGTGTTTGTAGAATCTTGGCCTTAATCGGGTTTTTGTAAGGTAGCAACATCTCTGTCAGCATCTCTGGTCTTGTAAAGAAGTTGAATCATTCTTTTTTCAGTTGAATCCCTTGTCTGCTAGAATTGTGCAGTTCTGTTCCAGCTGGTGCTTTATTTATTTACATCTGTACTGAAGGTTGCATGAATATTACAAGGCTTTGTTTTCAGTTTTTCATAGTGTTCAGGGATTTTTTTGCGTATCTTGGGCCTTTGCTGGGGAGACCAGAGCTTTTGGCTCAGCAGGACAGGGTGATGGGGCACCCCAGAGGGCAGGTAGACGGGCTCAGCGGTATGATCAGCACGTTGGGTGATAGCCGCACGGAGATCTGTCATGCAGCCCCTCACGGGCACTAGAGTCAGAAATATCAAAGGCAAGGCTGCAGGTAGACACAGGGGTAATGTGGGGATCTCAGGTGTTGCTGCTGCTCTTACAATAACTTAATCCTCTGATTACAAGGCAGGTGGCTGGGAAGAGCTTTTTTTCAGGGGGTGCTTGACGCTTCAACACCTCATAATCTGCCAAAGACCAAATGTGTCGCTTTTCTGGCATATTTTTTCCCTCCGACTTCTTGGGGAGGGAGGGAAGGTGGTTGAAGGGTGTGGGTGGTTGTAGGAGGGTATTTTTTCTTTGCTTTTTTTTCTGGCAATTTGCATTTGGATTGATAATCCCCAAAGCCTTCTATTCCCTCCCATCAGGGATGTCAAATCCCCTTTAATTAGTTAACTAGTTAAACATTATGTTTAACTGGTTAAATGATTCAACGGGGCAGGTGGAGGCTGCTCCATTATTGACGGGGCGGGGAGAGCCCTTGGGGGGAAGAGGCAAGGCGGTTCCAGAGCCTGTTGCAGGCTGGGGGCCCCGGCCACC